CCCCCGGGAGGGAGGGCGGGAAGAGCAGGAATCCTTGAGAGGAAAATCAAGGGCCCCAGAAACTCAGTCGCTTCATCAAAAACGCACTCAAGTGCACATATGATTATGCGACTTCCCTAGCACATGCCGCCGCAACGACGCGCTTTTTGAGCGCTGCAACAGCGTCGGCTTGTTGTGAGAGGCCTTCCGAGCTCGATCGGGAAGAGGCCGCCAAACGTGACACATTCAAGAAAAGAAGGGGCCCCAGGGACCCTCTCTTTCAAATCAGCCCCATAACCCATGTACAGTATGGCTCAAGGGCCGGGTTGGGAGGGCGAATGCGCTAGAAGAGACTGAACAAGTGCTTCACCAAAAAGCTTGGGGTAGACTTGGGCGTGCTCCGTCAGAAAACGTTTGCCAGCTAAACCCGTCAGGACGAGGTGCGGTTTCTTTGTCCTGGAACAGGTACTCTTGCCCTTGCAGCGAAGAAGCTGAAAAGGAGGGACACCCCACACGAGGAGCTTTGTAGGCTTTTTCCACTGAGTTCCGTACTGGCAGAAGTCAAGCTTGACCTCAAAGACCCTGTGGTCCTGCAAGAGACGTCGAATGCACGGAGCTTTCCACAATTGGGAGGTCAGGGGATTTTCTAAGTAGCCACAGACTCCACAGTGAAGTGCACGACGAATGAGCTTACAGGCTCCCCACATCATCTGATTTGCCCTCATGACCTTCTCAACGTCGGTCTTTTTCAGCCCTGGCAAGCCAAAAATCGACTCCGGACCTTCCCCCCGTAAACGATGAGGAAAACGAGAGTGCTTTGGAGCCCGGCGTGCCCTGGACCACGTATTGCACGGCAGATCGATGCCGATGCAGTCAAAAGTGTGCGCTTGACTAACAAGGAGGTTCCAGCGCGCCGGTTTTGACAGATCATTTTCAAGGCTATCGGCAATGTCAATCACAAACGCCGTGCCTCCATGATTTGCCCATGCTTTTGCAGGCTCCCCAGCTCCACCGAACAAGCTTAGCATGCTCTTTCCCTTCGCACCTGAGCCAATTTGCCCTCCAGCTTGCGCGGCAGCAGGAAGGATTTGCCTCGGAAGTAACGGCCAAAGTCTTTTCGGATCATCTCGCCAAAGTCCTGGAGGAGGGCGCCATGTTTGTTCAGAACTTGTTGTAGCCGTCCTGGCTTGTCGTAGATCCTGGCACTTGTGTCCACAGCCCAGCGTCCTCGGCGCTGGATCCCAACCACTGACCGAAGACGAAGAAGGTGGTCGCGGCTGGCCCCCCCGTGACGATTTTGATACGGGCTGAGGGCTACGTCCCCTATGCCCAAAATCTCCACTGCCAGACGCCAGGTCTCCAAAAAGGCCTTTGCGTTGAAGCTCCACAGGTTCGCCTCCTCGCTCACTCGAAGGCGGCCCTCCACGTGAGCTCTGAGAAGAGGCTCCAGCCAAGGTGCCCGGACGTCGTCCAGGATCAGGACCTCGTCGAAAACCCCAGCCTTGCTCCCCTCCCCACGCTCGAAAGGAGCCACCACCAACACCGAATGATGGTAGTCGCGATTGTGTGGCACAAAATCCGCCGCCTTCATCCTGAAAAGCTCCCCCGGTCTCGCGTAGGTGCTGAAGGACACTTCGTTGAACAAGGCCATCTCCTCGGACCCAAAGCGAATCATGATCGCCGAGATGGAAGTTTTCATGAACTCCGGCAGCGGCAGCCTCGTCTGGGTAGGCGCCATGCGGCGCCAGCCTTTCAAGGCCCGACGAAAGCGGGTTACCTGCAAACGTCCTTCCCTTGCTGCCTCCGGCCTCTGAAACTCCAAAGCCGCTAACAACTTCTGACCGAAATTTGAGTCCTCCCCATTCAGGTACTGGTCGTCTGCGTAGTCGCAGAGCGCTTCGTCGAGCTGGGCCTCGTCTCTTGTCTCCAGCTGGTGGAAAGCGGTGAACTCGTAAAACCCTTTCAGCTTGTTCAAGTAGTCCTGCCTCGTCGCGGCTTTCACGCTGCTCGTCTCGAGGATGGAGAGCTCGCCAACAGTCGCCCTCAGACGACTGGAAAATTTCCTCTGTCTGGCCCTTGCTCTCTCCCGTTTCCTCTGCGTCGCCTTCAGCATCGACATCAAGCCTGCAGGTCTCACTGAACGCCCGGTGGGCTCGCGCATCGGCGACTGTGCCCTCTTTCTCTTTGCATTCTCCCTCGGCTCCCGGATGGATTCCCCCGTCTCCATGCGGCGATTTGCATCGATCGCCTCTTGCCTTGTGAAAACGTTGACCGTCCGGGTCATCGCTCCCACCCCAGCCCTTGGAACCGTCACGACCGAGCCCTTCCTCAGGCCTTGGCTGCCACGAGCGGCTGCCCTTGTCAGCAGCATTATCCTCTGAGGCAATCCATCGGACGTGAAGCTTCATACCACAGGCCAGAGTGTGAGCAGAAATGCGGCGAATGAGGCGAATTAGTCCAAAATCACCGGCCCGCCCCTTCTGCACCGCCAAACAGACCCCCATATTGTCGTTGAGAACGAGGAAACGACATCCATGCTTGCGCGAGTCTCGACACATGTGCTTCACCGCGGCAAGAACACTCCGACACTCAAGGACATGAATCGGCTCCTTCCCGACGAACGGCGCGTTCCACAGTTGCTGCCATCGCTCGGGTTTGAGCAATGGTCGAGGGACCTCAACAAAATTTGGATTCGCGAAAAGTCCAGGTTGCAAATCATCATCTGGCTTTACTGTGAGGGGGTCCTCGAAGACTAAGGAAGTGTCCAAAGCAGCTGCCCTGGGCGGTAGACGTTCTCCGACTCCTCGGTAAAAACGCCAACGCTCATCCTCTCTGCCAACTGCTGCCACTTCCTCGATCCCAGCCTCCGTACTGCAAACCGCATAGCCGGTTGGGCAAGCATCGGTAGCCAATACTTCGGCCTGCCATGGAAGTCTCAAGTTCCCAACGGCTAAAGGCATAAGGCACCTGAAGATTTCAAGCTCCTTGACGACACTGCTCCATAACGGCTGCCTTCGTGTGTACGACTTCTCCACAAAGGTGTAGGCATGCCTAAGGATACACATCAATCCCCGATGAAGCACTGCACGAATCGTCATATGCCCAATGATCACCTGCAGCTCTGCGCCGGTCATTGAAGGAGCTGAGCTGCACGCCAGCAGAGCCCGATCCAGGGCCCAATCCCGTTTCGCCGTCGGTCCCACCTGGCCACCAAGCCCATCAATGCGAACCCCAAGCGACTCCCCCAAGGTTGCCGGCTCCACCACATCATGAGTACTCAGCCCATGCCCGTGCAATGCATCAATCATCCTTCTCTGGCCGTCCCCAACCTCATCACGCGCCACCCCAAGGTGATTTGCGTTGTCTGCATAAACCAGGAGTGCACTCTCATGCTCCCCTGCCTGTTGTCCCAGTCGAGGAGCGGGACGCCGATCATGTACAAAAGGAATCCCTGGCAAAGTAACACGAGCAATTTCTTGATGAGCCTGATGTGCAAGGTGAAAAGCCCAGGAAAAACCCATCGGCAAAACCTTGAAAAAGGGATAAATCGGGCCACTGCCTAAGTCCAGCATCTCTCGAAGACCAGTGGGCAGGTAGCCTAAGGCATCTTGCAACAACGCCGCATCGATCTCTGGAAGACTGAAGTACTCTCCCAATCTGCGAGGGATCCCCAGGCGGTAAAAACAATCTTTGATATCTTCCTGCGCTATGAAGACATCGGAATCATCACCACATTCTAGGCGAGTCCAAGCATCGACCGAGCCCAGTACCGTCGAAGGAGGAGGCCCAAAGAGCTTGTTCGCCCTCCGAGCATCGACTATGAGTCTTTGCTTGTCGCCTTTCTTTGCCACGCAAAACAATCCCACCTGGACCTTCGGAGTTCGCGTAAAGTCGATGAGCTTGGCCTGCAGCAGATCCGAGATGAGCTCGTGGTACTTATAGCGGTTGTGCGCAAGAACGGGGTCCAGGTGACAATCCCCCTCAAGTCCACGCTCTAGGGCTGCTGCAATGCCCTCGTCACTCAGAAGCATGTGCTCCTCAAAGTTCCGCACCTGCTCCTGCTCCAGCTCGGGCAAGATAGCTTCCAAACTCACCGGCTCTAACTGGTCACGTGGTATTGACAGCTTCTCCCTCACATAGCTAACCAACTGCCCCGGCTGGTCCCCGGCATAGGAGGGCGCAGCCTTTCGCTTCAGCAGCTGCCTAAGCGCTGCCTGAGGACTCAAAGACTCAACAGGTGGAGGACGAAGCAAGTGTGCCCTCCTGATCCTAGACAAAGCCGACTCTTGTGCGCGATTCAAAGAGCAGCGCGGCCAGCCCGCCTGGTGATCAAAACCCGCCAGCGTATTGAGCGCCCAAACCGTGCCCACTTCACGTTCGCCAAGCGTCCTCCGCTTGACGACCCGCTGCCGCGAGCGCCGAGAGCGCAGCCACTGTACATCACCGGCATAACCACAATCTCGAGGTAGAGGCAAAGGAAAAACGTCCCCGAAGCGATCTTGTGGCATGGAAAACTCTTCAGTGCTAAAATATCTCCCCGCCTGAGCCGCGGCACCGTCGTGACCCAGGCGGCCTCCCACTCTAGGGGGTGCTCTTGTTCTTGTCCTGCTTGCCGCCCTTTCCATCTCCTTTTCCAGGCTTCTCGGGACGATCGCCCGTCTCACCGCGATCTCCCCGATTCAAGGCATGTCTCCGCTCCTCAGCGGCCAAACGGTTTTGCTTCAATACCTCAGCACGATCAGCTTGTCGCCTTGCAGCATGACGGGTCAAGGCCGGATCAATGATGGAGCCGTCCGCGGAATCACGGGTGCCGAGAATTTCTTCGGCTCCTTCATAACTCGGTGCTTCGGGCCGGCCCTGATGTGCAACCTCAATCAAAGTCCTGCGGCGATTGAGGGCCTCCGCGCTTGCCAGCGAGGGGGTGTTCAACTGATCGTAAGATGTCATCAGGTTCAAGACTCGGCATATCGAAGAGTGCTCGTGAACACTCCTGTCAGTAAGCCGCACCCCGCTCTTCTTGATCCATGACTCATGATGCTGAAGCCAATCAAAACCCAGCCGACGCAGCTGACGGGCATCACGAAAAAGGGTCCGTGGGCCTTGCAGGGGGAAGTCCTCGAAGTCAACCTCTTCATACTCCGGGACCGCCTCATTGAGGGTGCGCCATCTCTCCTCCGCCGAGTCGAAGATCACCGGCAACACTCGGAGATCCCTCTCCTCGGCCTTCTCTTCCACCTTAGAAACCCGAACGGAGCGACTAAGGTCAGGCGCATCCTCAGCTTTGCATCCCTGCACGATCATGAGACCACCGTCCTCCAGGTACGCCCGCAGGGCAAAGTCCCCAATGCGCAGGCTTTCGCCAGTGGGTG